ATAATGTTGTTTTACAATATCAACATGCTATTTCTTTCTTGCATTAAGAGTAGTTTTAGAAAGACAATACAATTAAATTATATTATATGGCATTCTTCGTATCAGGCAATAAAATCAGATTAAAGCTAAGCTTCTAGACGTAATTGTTGTATAATAGTGCCACCTGCTGCTGTAGTATAGAATTGCACTCTGTACAAAGAGTAGGGTAACTTGCGAAGGTGCCCCCAAGTGTAAACAGTGTACATTTACTTTTAGGTAATAACATATTTAGATGTAAGTTTGGCATGTGCAGGATGATGATGCACCAGCCAATGTGTTAATAAGGGAATGGAAATTGAATAATTGTACATTTTGCGTTATGACAACTACATTAGCAAATGTATCTAAGAGGCCATCTTACCTCACTGCTGGCAAGAAGTGTTCGACAATTTAGTTTGTCAGAACTAACTGACATGGCAGAATCCAAGGAAAAGATATAAATCTGAAAGGTAAATTTACCGTATGATATAATATAGGTATATGAATCTATAAATATTTCATTGGCCATATTTTAATAGATATGTCATAATAGCAACACTATCAATTCAAATTGAATGATTTCCTATATAGATTAAATGTACATCTAACTCATGGAATTATTGAATAATAACTTCATAAATGACAATAAATATTATATAAAAAAACAAAACAATACTAGTAACAACATCCCGCTCTGTGCCAATTCTAGAGGGGCCATCTGACCCCAAGAGTCTAATTTTACTTTTTCACTTAAAAATAAAAGCAGCATTTCTTTCCTCTACAGATATAAAAACATTAATGTGTCACAAATCTTAAATCTGACTTTTTTTAATAGACACAAAAACCTTAAATATTCAACATGTTGAATTTGACTTCAATTCAGAAAAAACAAAGTACTCATGGCAACAGTTAAAATGGTTCAGTACTTAAGTTAATCATTAAGTCAGATGTGCAGTCAGTCACCCTCACGGTCATTGCTCTGAAAGTCAAAATCAACCTTCATGCTCAAACAAGGTGCCTCTAACAAAAGCAGCCAAAAAGATACTTTTCCACCTTTATTCCAGTAAGGTAAGGATGATATGCACTCACAATATACAGATATACACACAATATCTGTATACAGCAAAGAAACAACATGCTTGGAGCAAGAGACAGTTTCTGACATCGATCAAATACATTTATTTTCTCTTAAGATATTTAAATATTATGGTCCTTAAAGTCTTTAATTTCAGCTCTATAACATATGTACTGTATTTTTGAAAGATCATTCTATTGAAATGATTGTGCTAATGTCATTTGTCAAACCAGTTTTGGAAATGTTAAAGGGACACCCTTATGGCTGTACAGGCCCAGTGCAACAGCTCCTCTGGCTCTGACCCAGTCTGTTGTACGTAAGAGTCTATTTTTCTTTCAGTACTTGCAGTCAAGTCTAACGTACTGCTTTCACTTTTGCTGTTATACGCGGGTAAAAGAATATATTCGGTTTTGTGTTGACAGATGAAGAAGGATCAGGTCCATTGGCAGTCATCATTATCCCAAGCTTGCTGGCTCTCAGCACCCTGATCGTTGTGTCTCAGATCATATGGAGCTTTATTACTAAAAGATCATCAGCTCAGATTATCACAGGTTCATCTTTAAATGTAAATGGTATGTGAAAGAAAACTGATCTATCATGTTGTCAGCAACAATTTGAATCCAAATATTAGATGCAGAAAGTTCTTTTTAGTTTTGGTGCTTGGTTTTTTGAGGGCAAATCATGAGAAATAGTATTTTGAATCATACTGTCTTTTAGAAGGGGACCCTGTACCTTTGGACACAGGGTTTGGGACCCTGCGGCCTGCACAGGATGCTCTGGGTCTATGGGAGATACCGGCTCAGTGCAGCCTGGAGGGAGTGGAGCTGCTTCAGATGGGACGTTATGGGCCAATCTTCATGGGTCAGCTAAAACAAGACAACACATCCACTGCTGTAGTGATTAAAACTCTTAAAGGTACAGAACACAAATCAATCATGAAAAGGTGTCTTCTAAGAATTTACCACAATTTGTAGTCATATTAAAATAAAAAAAATAAAAAAAATGATACATCTTTTTTCAGACAGGTCAAATCAACCGGAGGCTACAGAATTTGTGGATTTTATCCATTTCCATGTAGCAGTGAGCAAACACAAAAATATAGTGGAGATGTTATATTGCCAGACACGCCAGACGCCCATGTACCTGGTTTTGGAAGCAAGCATTCCAGGGAACCTCCTGCATTTTCTCTGGAGTCTCCGAGAGGTAAAAACACCTGAATACACTCTCAGAAAAAAAGGCACAAAACTGTCACTGGGGTGCTACCTTTTCAAAAGGTGCTAGTATATATGGAATCCTGTTTCCACCACGAAATAAAAAAATAAAAAGGTAATTATGACTTTTTATTTCACAATTCTAACTTTTTTCTCAGAAGTGCATTTCATATCTTGCAATTCTGACTTTTTTCTCAGAATAGCGATAAAAAAGTCAGAATTGTGAGGGAAAAAATGAATCGTAAGATAAAAAGTCACAATTAGCTTTTTTGTTCGTTTGTTTTTTATCCCTTGGCAGAAACAAGCTTCCATAGATATATACTTTAAAAGTAGTAATACGTACTAATATGTAGGTTTTATTAAATTCCTAAATAATTAATAAATAAATTTGGGGCTATTAAGGTACAAAGCTTTTGTACCTTATGGATCCGCCCCAGTGACAGCTTTGTTCCTTTTTTCAGAGAGTGTTTGTTGACAGAAAATACATGGGTTACATCTCATAAATCCTCTCATAGATTTTCTTCTGAATGTAACTCTTACTGAACAGGACAGATGTGGTGCAAGTGATAACTTCCAGACGTTTTCAGAGAGGTCTGTTTATCTAGTAGCTAAACAGGTAGCAGCAGGTCTGGTGAGTCGTTTACCCCGTGTACTCATACATAGTAAAACAAAAATCAACTGTAAGATGTATAAATTCTTTAAATTATTTTTTTAGGACTATTTATACTCCTACCACAGAATTATTCATGGGGATGTCGCAGCCCGGAATGTGTTGATCGGTTCAGGGCTCTCTGTCAAAGTCTCTGGATTGGATTTGGCTTTTAAGAGTCGACAATCAAAAACGGTGGACAACGAACAAGAAGCCAATGTGCCGGTAAAATGGCAGGCGCCTGAACGGATGATGAGGCTTCCCCTAACAGACAGGAGTGATGTGTGAGTCTATCAGAACATTAAAAAAATGTTCTATAAAAAATACTGCACTTTGACCAATGTGCTAAGTTGTGCTGTCGTACTTCTTCAGATGGTCCTTTGGAATCCTGCTTTATGAGACGATAACCCTGGGTAGTATTAGTTAGAGGTCCCAATACACCAGTTGTTACTTGAAAAAAAAATTTGTAATCAAAAAATACTATGAAGCAAACAAGTTAGCAGTCTTATCCTTAACCTTCCTTTTCCTTTGAAAGGGTCTCCCCCCTATCCTGACCTGGATCCATCTGAAGTGCTGCCAAACACTTTAGCCAATTACCGGATGAAAAGACCAGAAAACTGTGGAGCTCCATTGTAAGCCTTCGTATTTGTCTGTTTTATTTTACACAACATAGTTGTTTTGCTCCTCTGTGAACAGCACATGTTCAAGAAAATCTAAAAATCCTGTTAAAACGACATAAACGGATGTTATCTGGCATGTCTTGCAGATATGATTTAATAAAGTACTGCTGCATGTGGACTTCAAGGACCGGCCGGTCTATTCCGCCATTATTCAGCTTCTAGACTCGTACAACTACCTCGCTGACACAAAACCACTTCACTCTGAACAGCAAATGGACATCTGTGAATACAGGAGGAAAGCAGGACTGCCTCCATGAGCTCATTCAGAGAGCTGTCAATTGATTTGTTTCTTTAAGATTGACATCGGTTCCAGCTAGTTTGTAGAGAATAAAGTGTAGCCATGTCATGACGAGCACAATGTCAATAGAGGTCGCCCTGTTTCTCAGAACATGCACAGGAAATAGAGGACGTATGGTCACCCTATCTAGTGCTAAGTTATGACAGATTTATTGTTAACAATAGCGAGGGGTATATAAATAGAAATGATAGGCCTACTCATGTTCAAGTATATGGTACTATGCCAAATTTTTACTCAAAGGTCAAAGTACCTAGTCAATAAACATGAACTTAAACTGAAAACAATATTAGAAACATTAATTGCAGTTAACTATTAACAAGTAAAAAGGCTTGGGTATTTTTTTCTAGCTTTCTGTTGCCTCAGTGTCCCTCATCTCTATACAAGCATTTGTTTATATTTGTCTTGCACCAATTTTCATGTAACCGTTTGCCGTTACTGATGCATTGAAAAAGTGTCTGCTAAATGAAATGTTCTGACAGTTCAAGTGACAGATTTTCTCATTAAAATAACAAAGCAACCTATCTCATCACCTTTTTTGTCTGTTATGGGGCAGATCATCATCTTAACAGACTGGGTTTTAAACCTATAGTTACTGTTTTTGCTGTTACACAAAGTTGAAAATCCTGCAGTATTTTGATGGAAATGAAAACCATGGTACACTTTTGAAAAGGTGACGCCAGCCACATCCTTTGGTGGTTGACCTCTAAAAAACACAAACACAGTTTTTCCTACCACCACTAAATTTTTAATAAAAAGTAACCACAAGTGGTGCACAGAACACAAAATAATGCCTCAATACTGTTACGTTGCAGGGTATCAACTTCCTACTGAACCCGTGACCAGTACATAGCAAATTCAATGGAAGATCACACGCTAAACACAAGCAATTACTGAAAACTGTGAGTCAGGAAGCAGAACCCCTTAAAACAGAGGTTAAATGGTACAGAGTAACTCATTTATCAAAATTAAATCAACCGTCTTATTTTTCATATTGTTACAATGTATTTGTTTTGAAGGCCCACCTAATATTATATGGGACACAAAGTAATTTAAGTCACATATTAACCAGGCAATAGATACATTACAGTATATGATGATAGCCACTATCTTAATCATACTGTAGTGTTTTTACATGAAATTACACAGATCATATGTATAAAATTCCCTTATGGACATTTTTTTTAAAATAATTAAGCAGACATTTTGATTATGATTGAGAGCTGAGTTGTTTCGGATCTTTCGGTCTCTTAAACAACCAGAAAGCAGTAACTCTACAAGTATAAATTCCACAGCAAATTTGACAATCTCAAGTTTGCTTCTTGCCTTTTCAGATTTGATTCATTTAGGCAGAACTGTGCAACAAACACCACACTTACTGTATCCGAGACCACCTAATATATCTGTCAACATGCCATTCAAACATGAAAATACGTGTGAAGCAGAGGTAAAGAGCATTTCTCATCCGTAGCGATGAAACAACAGCAGCAATCAAGATGGCCGTAAGCCTCCTTAGATCATGTTGATTTCATGAAGTTCACCTCAAAACAAAAATGATTTAAAAATAGTTTTCCAAGTTTCTAAATTGGTTTGATTTCCCTTTGCAGGAAGGAGAAGGGGATACTGTGACGTGTGAGCCTCATAGGCCTTTACCCCTTTACACTTTGCTGCTCCACAGGGTTGTTGGAAACAGTATGTAGGAAACGGACCATAACAAGTAATAAACGCATGCTGGAGGGAAGGAGGAGCAAAACACCATGGCAACTCCTAGAAAAAGAGAGGAAAAAGGTTAATGTAGTTATTCAGTAAATATAGGTAAATATTTCATTGTACATGCTAATTTCCCTAATTTTTACAACCAACACTCAATTAATCTTTAAAAGCACCAATACTTCACACTATTAAAATGTAATCTTTAGCAAATCTCAAAATGATTATCAATTTTTCATACTGTACTTTTCACATGTAGCATTCAAAAAGACAGATTTTTTTAGTGTTACATTTATTAATTTATTTAGACAAAATAGTGTAGAACTTCAATATCTGCTATGTACTGGTTACTGGCTTTACCTCCGATGTAGACCACCTTCTTCCAAGCCTGAGACTCCAGTACTCTGTCATGTGGGTAGAAGTTCTGACTGACCATAAAGAGAATCATGGCCAGTGCTAGGATTCTCAGTACTGCCATATTTCCTCTAGTCAGCAGAGAAAATC